TGGGCACCTGTAGTCCCAGCTACTTGGGAGGATGAGGCAAGAGAATTGCTTAAGCCCAAGAGTTGGGTGAGCTGCGATGCCACTGCACTCTCCCAAGGGTGACATAGTGAGACTCTTGTTTTAAAAAAAAAAATAATGAGTGTTCATCTTTGAGACCATCTGAAGGACCTACCAAATCTGACCACATTTGGGAAAATGCTGCTTTAGGGTGTAGTAGTCAGAGAACCCCAGGTTTCCAGTCCCACCATACAGTGGGTGACCTGAGTCTCCCTCTGCTACTCTTCCTGGAACCTCCCAGGACTGTACTTAGAATGAGACACTTATAGCTTGGCAAGTAACTCATTCTCAAGAAATGCAAGTTCTTTACTTCTCCTTGAGAAAGCCACTGAAGGACCAGTTTGGTGAAAATATTTAAGGTACACAGCTATGATTTAATAAAAAAAAAAAAAAAGAAAGAACGAACGAAAGCTACTCAAGGAGTGGACATAGCATTTGTGGTGTCTGTGCAAAACTTCTAAGGATAGGCAGGATCTTAGGTGACCCACTCTGGAGATCCTGGGTGGGAGGCTTCAGCTCAACAACCATACAGACCCTGTATCCATTGGGAGAGAACAGTCCCTTCCTCAGCTGCCTGCCTGTGGAGACCTGCCTAGCCTCCTATCCTACTTGACTCCTGGGGATGTCAGAGCTCCACACCTCCATCATCATCATCCCAAAATAAAGGGCTCCTTGAAAGAGGAGAGGTAAGAACTGAGTGGAGGGGGCAGGCTTCCTATACCCAGGATAACCCTAGTGAGGGGCTGTAGCTATCCTGCTCCTAGTCCTGCTTTAGTCGCAGCCCATAGGACTGTGTACACCTATAAGTAGGGACTTGTCAGCCGCCCCACGAATGCCCCTATGGTCATAGGATTCATGAGCAAAGGATCAAATCTGAGAGCTGGAGGATGGGGATAAGGGACTCCTGTTTCTTAAGGCAAGTCACTTCCCCTCTTGGGGCCTCCTTTCCCCATCTAGTAAATGGAACAATGAGTCATTCTCTCAACAAATACTTATTGAGTGCAGACCATGTACTGGACACAGCATGGAATAAGACAGAAGAGGCCTCTGCTTTCAGGAGCTTACATTCTGGATGGAGAGACAGACAATAAACAAACAAATGAGCAAGAAAATTTCCTAAATGCTGTAATAAAAATAAAGCAAGGCAATAAGAAAGTTGACGTAAATGAGAGCCAAGTGCCTTTCCAGGCCACTATTCAATCCCAAGGGTCATTTGCTGGAGCTCTGTTCCTAAAAGACACAGGACATGCAGCCCCCTTACCCTGATGTGTCTTATAGGAGTCTTTGCCTGACTTTCACTACACAGTAACCACTGATACCCTAAATTAGAAAAAGAAAGGTTTCCAGATTCTCTGCCTCCAGCCCCACAGTTCTGGTCCCAGCCCTAATCCTAGCCCCATGTGCTGGACGAGACTTGGGCCTACCCAGCTTTATAGGCATAGGCCTGCTGTACAAATTGTTCAGGGTAGAAGGCTTTTCACACTGATTTCAATTGAGTAACCAAGGATTTGAAAAAACAAAATTCTAATTCTGATTTTTTTGGTGTAGTAATCAGAGAACCCCAGGTTTCCAGTCCCATCATGCCCTGGATGACCTGAGTCTCCTGCTACTCTTACTGGAACATCCAGGAAGATGTCTGTACACTATTTACAGATGTATAGACATTTGTCAAAACCCAGCAAATATACAATTAAGATATGTGCATTTGTTGTATATAGATTTTGCCTGAAAATTAAAAAATTGCAAACCAATAATCAGCTCTAATTAATGAAATGCATTCTTAAGTATTTAGTACTGGTAAGTCTGCAACTGTAAAAATGCATGAAAAACAAGATGCATTAATGGATAAGGAACAGATGAACAGATGTGTGATAAAGCAAGTATAATAAAATGTTAATGGTGGAATCCAGGTAGTACTTACTCAGGTGTTCACTGTAAAATTTCTTTTTTAAGACAGAGTCTCAAGCTGTCACCCTGGGTGGAGTGCCATGGCATCATCATAGCTCACAGCAACCTCCAACTTTTGGGCTCAAGCGATCCTCTTGCCTCAATTTTCCTATTTTTAGTAGAGATGGGGGTCTTGCTCTTGCTCAGGGTGGTCTTGAACTCATAAGCTCAAACAATCCACCCACCCTGGCCTCCCAGAGTGCTAGGATTAGAGGTGTGAGCCACCATGACCAGCCCACACTGTAAAATTCTTTGAACTTGCCTGAAATTTTTCATAATTTTGGAGAAAAAACCAGTGATTAACTTTTTAAAAAAATACAAACTGCTCTACATGCACACACTTTATAAAAAGTTGCAATCACTGTATAAATCTACCCTTGTTAAAAGTTTATCAGTGCTGAATTTTGTTATTTTTTCATATAACTTCACAGCTTCACATGTACAGTGTTTAATGTCTACACAATAAATATGTTGTATGTTACTTTGGGGGATGTGGGTTTTTTCTTGTGTACATTCTTTTTTTCTTTTGAGACAGCCTCAAGCCGTTGCCCTGGGTAGAGTGTAATGGCATCACAGCTCACAGTAACCTCCAAGTCCTGGGCTCAAGCGATTTTCCTGCCTCAGCCTCCCAAGTAGCTGGGAACATAGGCACCCACCACAATGCCTGGCTATTTTTTGATTGCAGCCATCATTGTTGGCAGGTCTAGGGTGGATTCGAACCTGCCAGCCCTGGTGTATGTGGCTGGCGCCTTAGCCACTTGAGTCACAGGCTCCAAGCCTCTTGTGTACATTCTAAAAGCACTGGCTAAGGCTCCCTTTCCAGAGAGAAGAGACAAAGTTGTTTGGTAGCAACCCTTTTTCACTAAGGACTAAAAAAGCTGGAGAAAAAAATTTTTAAAGGCATCAAAAAGCTAATAGGGCAGTGAAGAATTGTGGGGCCGAAACTGAGAAGGAAAAAAGCCAGAATCCCAATATTGGGAATTGTTTCCTTTCCTTGGAGGTGTCTGCTAATTCCAAAAGGGAAAGCTGATAAGGTGTGCTAGATTGATTCCAAAAACTAGCCATACTTCCAGAACCTTGCTACTCCACTATCAAGAGGTCAAGTCTATTTCCCCTTAAAATTGGTGGGATGTGGCTGTGACCTGTGACAAACACAATACAGCAGGTGTGATGCCATGTGACTTCCACAGCTAAATTACAAAGGCAGTACATTCTGCTAGGCTCTTTCTTGGGATGGTTGCTTTTGGGACCAGATTGTAGGTGTTCTAGTTGACGGCCTCAGCGAAGGTCCTGGTCAATACCATCTTCAGCTGCCAAACACGTGAGGAAGCAGGCCTGCAGACTTCAACCCCTAGCTGTCAGGTCAACCCTAACCTTTGAGTCTTCCAGATGATGTCCCAGATGGCATGGACCAGACACAAACCATCCCTGTTGTTCTGTCCAAATTCTTTACCCACATAACAAATGGTGAGCATAATAAACGGTTATTTTGCAGTTTGATTTCTATCCCCTTGGATAACATTTATAAATCACATGGAATGAAAAAATACTTCCTTGGACCCTGAGTCTTTTTTTAAAGCATGGTCAGCTTTACAAGCATTAACAAGGGAATGACCTGAAGCTCTGAGGACTGCCCTTCCTCTGGGCTTTGGTTTCTTCTTTTGTCTTCTGGACAAAGGGGGACAACCAAAGAACAGGCATTGCCCTAAATGTTGAGTGGGGTGCTGGGGCATGAAGCCAAGATGTACTAGAGTGCAGACAGAGCAGAGGGCCCAGAAGGCACTCCTACGGACTGAGGGTAAAGCCCCCTTTGGGGGTAGGGTAGGTCCAGTGATCTTCAGTTTATAGTTCTTCTTTGGTAGAACTGACATCTTCTATCCTCCTTTTCTCTTTAGCCTAAGGACCATTTGGGAATTGCTCACGACAGTTCCGTGGGTAGGGGTTCCAGAGGCTTCTCCTCCTATCCCTATGACTGCTGGCCATAACATGCTTCTCATTAGTACTAACAAATGCCAGTTCCAGCTCAGAGTTGACCTGTTGAGTCCCAGTTAGGCTACATATTTGCTGTTAACAACCTCCCTGATCCTCAATTTTCTCTCCTGTAAAGTGGGACAGTATTATCTATCTCACAGGGCTGCCATTAGGAATAAATGAAATAATGGTAAAGTGTTTAGCATGGTTTTTGTGTATGTGTACATACATGCATGTGATGCTTTACAATATGGTTCTTGGTGAGTTGGTGCTTAAGTTTTATGCCATTCCATTTCTCCCTATAATCTTGCTGTGGACTGTGAGCTACAGAGAGCTTTTCTTAGTACTTTGTGGAGAGGGACAGGTCTCTTGGAAATATAGCTAAAGAAACTCCCACCTCCAATCCCAATACTATCAGACACAAGGAGTTTGCTGTGGTGTTTAGATGGTTCTGCCATGGGCTTGTCTTTGCTTAGGCTGAACTGCAGAAGACAAGCGTTCTAAAGTGTTTCAACTTTATTTACAGCCAGACTCCCTGCTTTCCACCAGCTTCTCAGCTTTGCTCTATGGGAAGATCTGGAAAGACAATGAAGCTTCTGCCAGGCCCGTGGGCTGAGGGAAGAGCCCCTTGCTGAAGAGAGATGCAGGACAGACGCCTCACTTCTTCTGGGCTTGTGCTCTGGCCCGCTGAATCTTGTCAGCTGTGGGCCCATCTGTGGCTCCAGTACAGTGGGACAACACGAGACTTAGTTCAGCCTCATTCCGGTGCTCGATGGCCACATCTGCAGCCTGAGCCAAATCCCTGTGTTTTGAACAAAAGAGGAGATGGTGTTGGCCAGGGCTGCCTGAGGGCACAAAGCCAGCCTCTTATCAGCCCACTGGCTCAGCCACACAGCACCCACAGGGCCCACATCAACGCACCCAACAAGAAGCAAAGCTTTGACTTTCTGCTCAGGACCCACGCGGGAAGCATACTTCTTGGCCTCGTATTTGTTGTGTTGTTTCATGCAGATCTCCACAAAAGGCTTAGCAGGAAAGGGAGAAGGTAGAGGGAGAAGATGAAGCACAGTCCTGTGCTCTCTTTTATGAGTGAAAGCCCAATGGATACATCATTCATACATATTTTATACACCTATCAGTATGTATAATCCTCCCAACCCCACACACAGACAGTTGTGATCTCAACTGTTTCTCAACTTAAGGGAAACAACCTGAAACCAAAGTTCTGCTAGAGCATTTTTTTTTCCTGGCAACACAGTCTTACTTTGTCACCCTGGGTAAAGTGCTGTAACCACAAACTCTTGGGTTCAAGAGATCTTCTCATCTCAGTCTCCAAGTAGCTGGGATTACAGGTGCCTGCCATAATGCCCAGCTAGTTTTTCTATTAAGGACAGAGTCTTGCTCTTGCTCAGGCTGATCTTGAACTCCTGAGTTCAGATAATCCACCTGCCTTGGTCTCCTAGAATGCTAGGATTACAGGCATGAACCACCACACCAGGCCTTCTTCTAGAGCCTTGAGACCAAATACTTCCATGCTTCCACTCCACCATTACCCCTAACAACAGGTGTTTCCTGCCCCCTACAGGTCCTGTGTTTTCTCCTGTGGCTGCCATCCTCAAACCTGCCCTGCACACCTACACGTGTGTAACAACTGTCTGCCACAGAAAACAAAGCCCCTCAATACCTCTACTGCCTCATAGATGTGCCCTCCCTGTCCCCCCCCCCATCCCTGACTCAAACATGACTTTCCCTCAGGCACATGGTGTCTGTCCCCTGCGGCCCTCCTTGGGGAAAGCAGTTCATTTCCCCCTCCCCTCAACATCTATAGGCAGACTTGGGCCCATCCGCCAGTGTACCCAACACAGTAGTTGGTGTCTGTCTGGGAATGTGCGTATGTACAGGATACTGTTTCCCTGCTTGAGCCCTTCTCCAGGACTACCCTCACTGAAGTGGGCTACATGGTGGATTCCTGCCTCACCAGGTAGCCAATGGGTGATTTCTTGCTCTTGGAAAACTTCTCTAGCTCCTCCCAGTCTTCCAGATCTGCCAAGGCAGTCAGTTTCAGCCACCAGAGCCTGTGGAAAATTGGGCTTGGAGGTGTTGCAGGAGAGGTAGGTAGTCTGGGACCCACCTGCAGCTCTCACTTACCTTTTGTCAGGGATGCGGAAGTCACGTGCCAGTTGCTCTGCACGCTTGTTGTGACCACCAAGAATGAGAGTAGTGACTGTGTCATGTAGAGACAGGTCTAGGAACCTGCCCCCTAGCTCATCTTCTAGGCGCCGCTGTAGCCGCAGGAGCCTCATTTGATCCTCTGTGGCCTGGGGACCCAGACGAGTCAGTGGTGAGAGATGAGGGACAAGGAGGGAAGACCAGCAGGGGAGGAAAGGAAAGGAGGCTCTCAGAAGAGTGTGCCAAACCTTGGCTGCAAACTCATTCTTGGCCTTATAGAAGGCATCAGCGGCTGTCTGCAGAGCTGCTACTCGCCCCTCGATACGCTACAGAGATGAGAAGGGATGCCTGAACTCACAGTACACAGAACCTTTGCCCCACCTCAGGTAGGCTATGATCTTCTCTCTGTCACTGTGCCCAGGGTCACCGGTCACCAGGGTCAGCCCTGCCCACTAAGTGCACTGCTTTGGTGTCCTAGTCAGATGGCTGGCTCCTCTGAGACCAACCCCCATACCAGCTTCATGTCTTCTCAGATTTTCTTGCAACAGTTAGGATTAGATGGGTGTGCACTGAACATGGAGGCCTAGATTCTGGGAAAAGGAATCAGACCGACAGCACCAGCCCACGAGCCCCACCCACCCCATGAACTTCAGACCTCTTCTGCAGCGTAGCTGGCTCGGATGTGAAAGCTGCCCAACTCCTGGTGATTGTCATCCTGATTGTAAAGGTCCTTCAGCGTCTCTAGCTCCTGATGCTTACAGAACTAGGGCCACGGGCAGGCAATCAGTCAGCGAGGTCAACTCAAGGGCTCAGGAGACTCTATCCCCAAGTCTGCCTATCACACACACCTGTCGGTACAAGCTCAGAGCCATGGGCTGGTTCCGAAGGGTCATGAAAAAATCTCCTCGGTTCAGCTCATTCTTCAGGTGTAGCAACACTGTGAACACTGTGAATGGTATGGTGGAATGGGGACTCCAGCCCAGTCCCCTGTTCAGCCTATAGGGCCCAGCCTTACTCACCCACACCCTGCTCACCAAGGTCAGTGTCCCCACTCTCAATGGCCTTGCTCAATGCCAGCTTACTTCTTTTCATCTTTAGCAGAAGTGGTACCTGCTCCCCTGAACGTGGCTCATACTCCAGCAACTGCAGGATGGGAAGGCAGGCACAAGAGGGAAGAGCTGGCATGGGGGCTTCAAACACCCACATCAGAGTACCTGGGAAGGCCTATGTGCACACACCTTGATGGCCAGCTCCGTACGGCCACAGCCATAGGCCCGTGCTGCAATATCGGAGTAAGACACACCAGGTGTGTCTCCCAGCTTCTGGTTAATGGCTCGAGCAACATCCTCATCTGACACATCCTTCTGTTGCACCTGCAAGGAAGGAGGGGGTTGCATACATCTCAATGTCATTCATACCCCTCACCCTCATAGGACCACTCTTTCAGCACACACTTCCTATTTCCTCTACCTCACAAGGGCCTGGAGTTCCCTAAATGCCACTGGATCCCATCCCAGATCCTTGCCTTATAGCAGGCCCAGTGCGCCAGGATCCTGCTGACACCCTGAACTTCAGGAAGGCGCAGGTACTCGCATATCTGGATGGCCAGGGGATAAAGCCTCCGCAACACAAGCCTGGCAGGCAAAGGAGACAAAGGGTATAAGGAGTGAGTTCTCATAGAAAGAGGGGGCAGAGTGGCTCCAGCCTGTGCCTCAGGCCCCCAAATTACAAAGAGATGAGTCAGGAGCAGTGGCCATAAAACCCCACCAAAGACTATAATGTCTGCCCATCAAAGCCCTCCTGATAGCATCCATGGGCTGACTGTACCTGTCCAGCAGCACCTGGATGGTGAGCTGCTTGTATCTGTATTTTCCATGGTTAAGGATCCAGCCTGTTTGCCAAGGACCTGCAGACTGCATCCGCAGCCCCTGCCCCCCACCCCGACTGCGAGTACCCTTCCAGCATGCAGGAGGATACTGGCTGTAGGTGAGGGGGATCCCAATGTGATAGTCCCGAACAGCATTGAGCACACGCAGGTCCTGACACATGCGCACAAAGCTGTCAGGTGGAAATCTGTCGAGGAAACACTTCCCAAAGGAGGCTGCCTAAGGAGAGCCAGAGGGCAACAGAGCTTCCTGAGCTGTCCATCCCAGCACCTGCCCACCTTGCCCAGCCCTGCCCTCCAGGCCAACCCTCAGCAGACTCTTCTGCATGTCTGGCTGGTGCTCATGTCCTGCAGCCTCGATGCACTGTTGCACGGCCTGGGTCAGCTGCCCCAGTTCCTGGATCTCCCGCAGGTACTCATCTGCCTTCTGGCTCTCTTTCTAGCAGGGAGGGGCCCAAAAACAGAGTATCATGACAAAGTGTCATTTTGTCATGACAAAGGATACCCCTATATCTTGCCCCTAGCTGCTATGGGCTTATGGTTCAAATAGGCTGATTTGGGGTCGGTGGGGGGACTGCACAGCCCAGATCCCAAACTACTGAAGCCCACTGGATACACCTGAGGTGCCAAGGACATCATCCCGTATCAGCCCACAATTGCCTGTGGGGGGCCTTGAGACTTCCAAAAGTAACCCCAACTTGTGCCTGACTGAGGACAGTGGGGGCACCCTGTCCTTATCTCCAGTGGAGGATATCATATCCCTCAGTCTAGCTGAGCTGGCCCTCCCCAGCCCAGACCAGTGTCCTGCCTGGACACCTTTCTTGACAGGTCTGGTATGCCCAGGAAAGGGTAGGGTAGGGGAAGAGGGAGTATCCTGGGGCCTAGGGAGAAACCCATGGCTTTACCTCATACTCCTTCTGGGCTTCCAAGAGCAGTGCTCCAGGGGCCATTGAAGCAATTTTGAAGATCTCCTCACTGGCCGCTGGGGGAAGGAATTGGTAAGTGGAAGGAGAAGGGATACATTCAGGCCTTCCTCAGCATCCTGATCCTGCTCTGGGCTCTGGCCCAGGGCAGGTGGGGTGCAGAAGAGCTCCTGCCCTGTGTTATGCGGTACCTCACCTGGAACCTCATGCAAGAACTCATGAGTGCTGCGGGAGAAGATGCGGACCCCGTCAAGCTCAGGCACCAGGTAGGAGTCCTCATCCAACACAAACCTGAGCTTATTTAAGGCTTCTAAGAGCGCTCAGAGATGGGGTGGGGCAGGGGACTCCCCACTGACTTCCCACCCCACACAGGCAGCCCTCCAAGGATACTGGATGCTCTCAGGCGCATCGCCCACCACCATTAGCCTCCTCTCCCAGGCCACCACAACAGCCTTCTCTTTGCTGCGAGGACGGCTGCACCTATGAGCAGCACAACACACACGTCTGAGATACACACAGGACACCAGGCCCGCAGCCATGTCTCTCACATTGTTGTGCTTACATGCCTATGTCATAGGACAGGCCTGTACACATTTATGACCCTGACTGCATGCTGACTTGTTTCCACTTTCCTTCTACCACTATGCCATCCCACAGAGGACAATGACTTCCTTTAAGCATGTGCTCAAAGTGAGGAGTACTCCCCAGCAGGCTAGCCAGAGCATGCCAACCTCCACTGGCTTTGCCAGTAGATAGGATAAATCAAGGCATCACAGGAAACAAGCTGTGTCCCACCCCCAGCCCAGCACAGCAAACCCATCCTCACCAGACCATCTGCTTCGGAGGTGCCCGGATATTGCAATTGAACTCACACAACTTCTCCTGAAATGGAATGGGGAATGTCATGGCTCTGGACCAGAAGTCACCAATCTGACTCTAAAGCCCTTCCCCAGCCCCCAACATAGTTCCCCTGTGTTGTCCCAGGATCACACCTTGAGAGATGCCGTTCCCATCCAGATATAGCCTGTGTCTGTAAAGAGTGCCAGGTGTCGGTAGGTGAAGGAGACAGCCATTTGTAGGAAGGTGCTCACTCCCGGGGCCAGGCCAGGGGGTGTCTGGGGCAGAACCGGAGAGGACACCAGATATAGTGATTTATCAGAGCCTTCCTATTGCCTTCTCCAACTCTTCCATTTCATTCCCACCCAGGGCCCTCACCACTGCAGAGCAGGTTGCGTGGTCCAGGAGATAAAGATCAGGCCCAACAGCCAGAAGAATATGTGCTACTCGGTCCTGACATAATGTGGTCCAGCAGGAAGGTGCGCTTTGCAGACCTGTGACCCAGAAGGAATCAAACTCAGGATGACCACACCCCAAAGCTTCTGCTCCTATTGGTCTTAGTCTAGAGACAAATCTGTGGGTGCTGAAAACTATCACATGGCTGTCAGGTCTTACCTGGCACTTCTGGCATCCGACGGAGTTTGAGGTCACCCACATTAGCACTGAGGGTAAAGCGGTGGGCGCCTGTTAGGATAGCCACACCAGAGCCAAACTCAGTGTGAAAGATCTGGGCATCTACAACCCGGTTCTGGAGAACCTCCTGGGGAGAAGAGCCATGGGCTGAAGGAGCCACAGAGTCATAAACTCCATCCCCCACCTCCAGTCCCCTGAGGCCCCTACATTGCCCATGCTGAAGTGTCTCCGGAAGTCACCGTGCAGCCCATAAACCAGCACTGCACCATCTTCCTGCACACAGAGCAGCTCTTCCTCAGCTGACCAGCCCAGGGACACCACAGGCCCACTCTTCCACTGCAGAGGAGAGAGAAGTTCCCAAGGCTGTCCCCGAGAAAAGGAAGCCCTGTCCAGCCCCTAGCCCCAGGGACAGTTGGGGTGCTCACCAGCAGGCTGGCCAGAGGCATGCCAGAAGCAGAGTATATATCCAGCACTGGCCGCACACTGGCAGCTTTCTCCTTCCGCCAGGGGTTCCTCAGCAGTGCTGCAATTTGAGAAGAGACCTGTCCTAGCTCTCCAGGCCCATGCTGTATAAAGCAGACCTCATAGAAGCCAAAACTAAAATCACCTCAGCACAGTCAGTAAGGGTGGGGGAGTGGTGGCAAGAACCCGACAGCAAGGCTTTGAGGAAATGACCTTGCATTCATCCCAGGGACTCACAGAAGGGGTGACATACCAATAGGGCCCCCATAGGGTGCAGCAGCCACCAGGCAATCCCTGAGTTCCTCCTTCAGGTCCCAGTCCATGCTGTACAGCTCATATTTCCTGTCCACACAGAGACAAGCAGAGATCAGCCTCCTCGTGACCTTCCACCCAGAAGGAATGAGCCCAGAGAAATCCCTAAACCAGGGATCCTCAAACTTTTTTAACAGGGGGCCAGTTCACTGTCCCTCAGACTGTTGGAGGGCCGGATTGCAGACCCCGGGACAAGTCGGCTGCTAAGCAGGATAGGCAGCGGCGGCAAAAACACCCAGCGGGTTAGATAAATGTCCTTGGCGAGCCACATGTGGCCCGTGGGCCACAGTTTGAGGACACCTGCCCTAAGCCCTTCATGTGCCCTCTGCAGGGCAGCAGAGAAGCCCACCCACCTGACACAGGAAGGGGAGTGATGCCTAGAAACAGCTGGGTGAACTGACTATATGCACTTCTAGGGACAGCAGGTGAGGGAACAGAAGGTGCTGGCAGGGAAGGATGTGGTTCTGGGGGACAAGTGTCCAAGAATGACAAGAGATCCTTAGATAGGAAGGCTGCGTAGTCGATATCCAAGGTACAAACTGAGACAGAATGAGGGTGGGGTAACTGGCTTGGGCAGGAAATAAGACCTTCTCTGAGGGTCCATGGGAAGGGAGCCTTTCTCCTATTTTTGGTTCTTAAAGATGAATTAAGTCGTAGCCTTTAGGGCGGCACCTGTGGCTCAAGGAGTTGGGCGCCAGTCCCATATACCAGAGGTGGCGGGTTCAAACCCGGCCCTGGCCAAAAAAAAAAAGTCGTAGCCTTTACCCAGAGGTACAGCTCAATGCTTACTGATGATGAAATCAGTTTTAGAGGTACTGAGTTGGCAGTGCCTGAAAGAAATACAAAAGGAGCTTTTCAGTGAGATGGTGCTGGCTAGAGTCCTGGAAATGTTAACCTGTAAATACGTGAATTACAGGAGGTAACCAAATCATAAGCAGGCCCGAGATGGCTGCAAACTGACATGTGCGTGGATCACCAAGTATGTGCTGCATGTGAAGTTGAAGTTGGGAACTTGGACATGTCAGCATTTGGCACTCAACGTGTGGAAAAGGGGACAGCAAAAGCGACAGAGAAAGAGTGGGTACTATTCTAGGATGCCAAGAGAAGATAGTGTTTAAGGAAGACTTTTCAGCAAGTATCATTTTAGGGACCTTCCCATTAATGGTCAGGAAGATACCCACCATTATCTACCATTTCACATCCTTCTTGGGATTCTACCCAAAATAACTTTTAAAAAATCAAGAGATGTTATATTTTGGAGGAGCAAGATTCCTATTTGTAAACAATGTGATTGTCTACTTAGAAAATCCCAAGCAGTCTCATTAGAGAGCTCAGTAGGATGACCAACAAAAATCTATCTATCTTCTGTGCCAAGAAATACCACAGCAAAATCAATTAGAAATATAACTTTTACTTGGGAAGCCAAGGCTGGTGGATTGCCTGAGCTCACAGGTTTGAAACCAGCCTGAACCAGAGTGAGACCTCATCTGGAAAAATAGCTGGGTATTGTGGCAGATATCCTGTAGTCCTAGCTACTCAGGAGGCTGAGGCAAGAGAATCGTTTGAGCCCAAAAGTTTGAGATTGCTGTGAGCTATGATGGCACAGCACTTTAACCAAGGGTGACAAAGTGAGACTCTGTCTCAAAAAAAAAAAAAAAGAAAAAAAATATAACTTTTAAACGATCTTAATCATGACCACAATAAAACTATAAAATATGCAAGAATAAATCTAATGAGAAATTTTACAAAATCAAATCAAAATTTCCTCAAGGATTCAGAAGATATGGAGAAACATCCAAAGTGATCTGTAAATACGCAGGAATTCTAATAAAAATCACCTCCAATTTTGGGGGGAGGAGGATATAAAAACTGATGCTAAAGTTTATTTAGAGGGAAAAACATCTGAAAGAGAAAATACTGGAAAATATTTAAAAATATTTTGAAAGTATGAGAACAGATAGATACATACCAAATATCATACACACTATATAAACTAAATCTAATTAAAACTATTGTTTAGACACACAAATAAGCATATAGAACAATAGAAGAGAATAGAGTCCAGAAAAAAACCTGGGAATTGGGCATATAATAAGGATGGCATTTCAAATAGGTATAAATTGACACTTTAATTTGACAATGGGCCATATGGGAAGACCCAAAATAAATGCTGTTTCATGACTTAAATACAATCAACAATAAAATATTTTCAAGATGGAATTCAAGATTTAAGTATTAAAAAAGCAAAGCCTTACCAGAAAGAAACTTAGAAATTTTTATAATCTCAAAGTAGAAACAATTTCTAAGCATGATCATGATATAAAATCCAAAAGTCACAAAGAAAAAGACCAAAAAGCCAAGCAAATAGTTCAGCCTGTATGTAATCCCAGTGACATAGGATATTGCGTAGGAGGATCATTTCAGACCAGGAGTTCAAGATTAGCCTGGACAATACCATAAGACCCCTTCTGTAAGAACAAACAAAGAAACAAACAAAATAGCAGGCAAGTTGCCCTGGCATATAGTCCCAGCTACCTGTGAAGACTGCTTTACCTCAGGAGTTGGAGAGTTGAGTTATGATTGCACCACCGCAGTAAGGCCTAGGTGACAGAGCCAGACATCAAAGACACTTAAGATTATGAGGAGAGAGGAAAAGAGAGAAGGAAGAAGGAAGGGGGGAGGGAGGGAAGGAGGAAAGAAGGAAAGGAGAGAGAAAGACTAAATGGGTCTAAATAAAAATTAAAGGATTTCTGTATCTTTCTATATAAAAAAGGTTAAGAATAACACACATTCATATTTGCTTCTATTTGGAAAAAGAAACTTTGGGAAGATTTACAAGAATAGGTTAAGAACAGTTCCTTGAAGGTAACGGGTACAATCAGTTGGAAGGTGGCAGCGATGGAAATAAGCCTTTGATTTTTTTAAAAATCACATTACCAGTTATTTACTAAGCAATAACATTTTTTTAAACCCACTAAAAACGAGGTAGGAAGACAAGCTATCAAAAATACAAAAATGTCTGTGAAACAAGGGAAAAAGGAATAACTTTCTTAAAAATACAAAAGATTTTGGGCAGTGCCTGTGGCTCAAAGGAGTAGAGCGCAGGCCCCATTTGCCAGAGGTGGCGGGTTCAAACCCAGCCGCAGCCAAAAACTGCAAAAAAAAAAAAACAAAAAACAAAAAACAAAAAAAAGATTTTAGTTAATTTTTAAATTTTATTTTTCTATCCTGTTTTATCTTCAAACTATGCCTTAATCAATTTTTTAAAATGAAAATAGGCTCGGCACCTGTAGCTACACTGGAGCTGGTGGGTTTGAAGCCAGCCCATGCCAACTACAACCAAAAAATAGCCAGGCATTGTGGGGGACGCCTATAGTCCCATCTACTTGGGAGGCTGAGGCAAGAGAATCGCTTAAGCCCAAGAGTTTGAGATTGCTGGGAGCTGTGATGCCACAACATTCTACCGAGGGTAACATAGTGAGACTCTGCCTTAAAAAAAAAAAAAAGAAAGAAAGAAACAGAAAACTAAAAAAAGCAGTCATGGACTTTATCATATTTTATGTAAAAATATTTAAAAACATAAAAAACTTGGAAAGGCTCGGCGCCTATAGCTCAACTGGCTAAGGCGCCAGCCACGTACACCTAAGGTGGCGGGTTCGAATCCCCAGCCCGGACCCGCCAAACAACAATGATGGCTGCAACCAAAAAATAGCCGGGCGTTGTGGCGGGCGCCTGTGGTCCCAGCTACTTGGGAGGCGGAGGCAGGAGACTCGCTGGAGCCCGGGAGTTGGAGGTTGCTGTGAGCTGTAACGCCACGGCACTCTACCCAGGGGGACAGCTTGAGGCTCTGTCTCAAAAAAAAAAAAAAAAAAAAAAAAACTTGGAAAAATATAGGCTAATATTTTCATAATATTGAGATTTGGAAAAGTTAGAATATGACAAAACACAGAAATTATCAAGGAAAAGACTTACAGATTGCAAAAAATTAAAAAATCTATACATTAAAAATGAATACATAATATAAAAGCCAAGCGACCACTGTGAGAAGATACTTGTGAGATTTGTAACAAAGGGTTAATCTAAAGAAGTTATAAATGGTTCTTTTGCAAATCAGCACAAACAACACTTCAGGGTGGGGTGGGATGGCTCAAAATGGTAATCCTAGCACTCTGGGAGGCCAACGTAGGGAGACCCCTTAAGCTCAGGTGATAGAGACCAGCCTGAGCAAGAGTGTGACCCTGTCCCCACTAAAAATAGTAAAACTAGCCTGGCATGTGGTGAGTGCCTGAAATCCCAGCTACTTGGGAGGCTGAGACAAGAGGATCATTTGAGCCCAAGAGTTTTGAGGTTGCTGTGAGCTATGATGCCAAGGCACTCAACCCCAGGGGAACTGAGTGAGACTATGCCTAAAAAAGAAAAATATGTGGTGGGTGCCTGTAGTCCCAGCTACTCAAGAGGCTGAGTCAAGAGAATTGCTTAAGCCCAAGATTTGAGGTTGCCGTGAGCTATGACGTCACAGCACTCTACCAAGGATGACAAAGTGAGATTCTGTCTCAAAATAAATAAAGAAAGAAAAATAAAGAAAAAGGAGTGAAGTTGAAAGATGTGATTGAACTGTTGCTGTCTGATGATAAAACCTGAATGGATAAGGAGTTGGATTTTATGGATGAGCAAAAAAAGTGGTTTCTTGAGACAGAATCTACTCCTGGGTTTTTTTTTTTTTGGTAGAGACAGAGTTTCACTTTTTCACCCTCAGTAGAGTGCAGTGGAGTCACAGCTCACAGCAACCTCTAACTCCTGGGCTTAGGCAATTCTTCTGCCTTAGCCTCCCAAGTAGCTGGGACTATAGGCGCCCACCACAACACTCGGCTATCTTTTGTTGCAGTTTGGCCAAGGCTGGGTTTGAACCCGCCACCCTCAGTATATGGGGCCAGCACCCTATTCACTGAGCCAGAGGCGCCTCCCCAGAATCTACTCCTGGTGAAGGTGCTGTGAACATGTTTCAACATGTTGCTGAAATGACAACAAAG